TACAAAATTAACGTCAAGAAATCGATGGCATTCTTATACACCAATGATGAACTCACAGAAAGAGAAACTAAGAAAACAATTCCATTTACCATTGAGGCAAAAAAATTAAGATACCTAGGAATAAACTTAACCAAAGAAGTAAAGGACCTATTCGCAGAAAACTACAGGTCATTAAAAAAAGAAATAGAGGAAGATATAAAAAAGTGGAAGCACATACCCTGTTCATGGATTGGGAGAATTAACATCATTAAAATGTCCATATTATCCAAAGCAATCTATAGATTCAATGCAATCCCCATCAAAATACCAATGGCATGCTTCACAGAATTAGAACAAGTACTTCAAAAGTTCATATGGAACCAAAAAAGACCTCGAATAGCCACAGCAATCTTGAAAAATAAGAACAAAGTTGGAGGGATCACATTACCAGATTTCAGGTTATACTACAAGGCCACCGTAATCAAAACAGCCTGGTACTGGCACAAGAACAGGCATATAGACCAGTGGAACAGAACAGAGAACCCAGAAATGGACCCAAGGCAATATGCTCAATTAATATTTGACAAAGGTGGCAAGAACATGCAGTGGAGTTAAGGACAGCCTCTTTAATAAATGGTGCTGGGAAAATAAGACAGCTACATACAGAAAAATGAAACTAGACCATCAACTTACACCCTACACAAGAATAAACTCAAAATGGATAAAAGACTTAAATGTGACTCATGAATCCATAAAAATCCTAGAAGAAAATGTAGGCAACAAAATTTCAGACATCATACGCAGCAGAATTTTCACTGATACATCACCTAAGGCAATAGAAACAAAGGAGAAAAGAACACATGGGACTACAGCAAACTCAAAAGCTTCTGCACAGCGAAAGATACAATCATCAAAACGGAAAGGCTACCCACTGTATAGAAGAGCATAATTGCCAATGATATATCAGATAAGGGATTAATTTCCAATATATACAACTCATACAACTCCACAAAAGGTAGACAAAGAACCCAATTAAAAAACGGGCAGAGGTACTAAATAGACACCTTTCCAAACAGGACATACAAATGGCTAAGAGACATATGAAGAAATACTCAACATCACTAATCGTCAGAGAGATGCAAATTAAAACAACAATGAGGTATCACTTCACACCTGTCAAAATGGCTGCCATCAACAAATCATCAAACAACAAGTGTTGGTGACTGGTGCAGCCACTATGGAAAACAATATGGTGTTACCTCAAAAAATTAAAAATTGAACTTCCATTTAACCCAGTGATCCCGCTTCCAGGAATATACCCTAAGAAGCCTGAAACACCAATCACAAAGAATATATGTACCCCCATGTTCGTACCAGCACTATTTACAATAGCTAAGATCTGGAAACAGCCGAAGTGTCCATCAGTAGACAAATGGATAAAAAAGTTGTGGTACATATACACAATAGAGTACTACGCAGCTGTAAGAAAGAAAGATCTCTTATCCTTTGAGACTACATGGAGGGACCTGGAAAGTATCATCCTAAGTGAAATAAGCCAAACAGAGAAAGACAAGTATCATATGATCTCACTTATTTGTGGAATATAATGAACATAACAGTCTGAGGAATGGGGTAGTCCCAGAGACGTGGAAGTGGGGTACAGACTGACAATCCCCAGAAGAGGGGGTGGTGGGGAGAGATAAACCACAGAACTTATATGCATGTATGCATGAACAGTGGACATGGACAACAGAGCTGGGGACAGGGCAGGGAGGGAAAGGGAGGGGGGAATCAGTGGGGGGAAAAGGAGAAACATCTGTAACAAAATTAATTAATAAAAAAAAAAAAAGAATAAATATGGTGGTTTTATGCAAGAAAAAAAAAGTATAAAGAGACACAAGCTGGGAATTAAGAGAGTTATAACCATTAAACTGCTTTGGGAAATGGGGTAAGTCATAGAATCCTTTATTTTTTATCCAAATGAAGAAAATAGGTTACTTAACTCAGGGATCTCTAATGACCAGGGTTAGAATACAGACACACAGGGTTTTATTATACTTCATTTTACTGTACTTTGTAGATATTGCATTTTTTACAAATTAAAATAAGTTCTCCCAGCAGCAAAAAGATTATGACTGGCTGAAGGCTCAGATGATGGTTAGCATGTTTTAGCAATAAAGTAACTTTAAATTAAGGAATGTACATAGCTTTTTCAGACATAATGCTATTGCACACTTAAAAGATTAAGCATAGTGTAAACATAACTTCTATATTCACTAGTAGACCAAAAAAATTCATGTGACTCACTTTATTGCAATATTCGCTCTTATTGCGGTAGTCTAGAACCAACCCCACAAGGTATACCTGTACTGTCAATAGACTGAATTGAAGGTACACAGATTACCAGATAAATGATCTAATTTGTTCTTGGGTAAAATTTAATATGAAAATATAGTAGTGAGCCCTGTCTGGTTTCGCTCAGCAGTTAGTGTCCACCCTCAAAACAAAGGGTCACAGGTTCGATTTCTGGTCAAGGGCGCGTACTTGGGTTGCAGGTTCAATCCCTGGCTCTGGTCAGGGTTGTATGGGAGACAACCAATCGATGTGTCTGTCTTGTATCGATATTTCTTTTTCTCTCCCTCCTTCCCTCAACTCTATCTAAAAATCAATGGAAAAATGTCCTCGGGTGAAGATTAACCAAAAAACGAAAGAAAATATGGCAGTGAATTTTATCATTAGCAAGTATCACTGTTAAGAAAACAAAATGCATACATTATACAGATAGCAAATGAAACTAGTGAGTCTAGACTTCTTTTAACAAGTGACAGAGTTATAAAAAAGTTATTAAGCAAAGAAGTGACAATATACCTCAGAAACATATAATAAAAAATGGAAAAAATGATCAATAAAGTTATACTTTAATTTGAATGACAGACCATCCTTATTACCAAAGTACTAAGAAGCTCAATTCACTTGATGACATTTAAAATGTAGACACTAAACAATGTTCTTTTGCTCATATAAAGCACAATTTTATAAAACAGTAAACGTAAAGAACAAAGTAACTTTATTTACAAACTGAGGAAATTATTTATACTTGTTATTTTCACAATTTACTCAAGAATTTTTCATTAAAAAGGCCTGGCTGGTGTGGCTCAGAGGTTGAGTGGTGACCCATGCACCCAGAAGTCACTGGTTCGATGCCCAGTCAGGGCACATGCCCAGGTGTGGGCCCAATCCCCAGTGGGGGGCATGCAGGAGGTAGCCAATTGATGTTCTCACTCACTGATGTTTCTCTCTTTCTCTCACTCTCCCTTTCTCTCTCTCTAAAATCAATAAAAAAAAGAAAAAAGAAAAAAAGACTGACATAATAAAATAAAAATGTTTAAAAAGTAAGTTCTGATTATCACACTCAACAAGGAAAAGTATTCAATGGTTTCATGTAAATCAAACTATTCAATTATTTACCAATAAGATTTCTCTACAGAAAGCAGAATAATCCTTTACTTTGCTAAAGATATTTTATGCAAGAAGGTTCTCAGAAATCAAAACATACCTGGTCATTTTGAGGAGACAGAGGCAGGTTAGGCAATGAGGGACGGGACCATGGGAAGGGAAGGCTGAGACACATAAGTTTGAGATAACTTGGAGCTCAGCACACAGGCAGGTAACCCAGTACACAGTATATCTGAAGGTTTATTTGGACTCTATAGATCTCAATATAAAACTAAACCAGCATGGCAAATTATGCCTCCAAGTCCAGAACCTCCTAGTCCCCATTTATAGAAATGCAAATTAGAAGCTCCTGGAAGGAGCACATAACAAAATCCTGGAAAGTCTGATTTCAAGCAAGGCAACAGGCTTGCTGAATTAGTTCTGCTGCAAAACTATAGACTGTGTTTCTACTGCAGAAAACCAGGTTACCTTAGAAAGGATCATAGGAAACCAAGGTTGGGTTTGTGGGAGAAACCAAAATCAAGCATAGGGTTGCTCCAAGGGTATTTCCCCTCCTCCTCTGAGAGAAGCTGAAATTATCAAAAAAAAGGGAAGCCGCTAAGGCTCCTATAGATGACCTAGGGCTGAACCCAGTCAAGTGGAAAACACAAGCTTTAAAATGTATGGATGTTGCCCAGCCAGTGTGGTCAGCGGATAGAGCATCGTCCCATGAACTGAGAGATTCCGGTTTGATTTCCAGGCACACGCTGGAGCTGTGAGCTGGATCCCCACTGGGGGGTGTGCAGGAGGCAGCGAATCAATGTTTCTCTTTCACATTGATGTTCTTATCTCTTTCTCCCTTCCTCTCTCTCTAAAAAAAGTCAAAACATATTTTTTTTACAATGTACGGATGTTGCTAAGGCAGAATTCCTTGAAAGGACCCATCAGAGTATATATCTACCCCTAGACAATAGAGCCCCACCAGCAACCCACTTGGGTCCCCTCACCACTCCTTGGTCTGTGAACTCATTCTTTGATTTTGCGAGACAATAAACCAAGCACCATCACTTGGTTTCAATTTTAAATTATTCTGGGAAAACTTGTTTTTAATTGTACAACCATTTTACCAGACATAATCTTGGATAATTTAGTCCTAATAGTTCTGTTAACTCTAACCTTATTAACTTATTACATCATTTATAAAAGCTTTAAAAAATATAAAGCAAACTAGGCCTGATTTTCTTTACATATGTATATCTATTTTTTGAACTTTATTCTTTTTTAAAATATGATTTTATTGATATTTTTAGAGACAGAGGAAGGGAGAGAGAGATAGAAACATCAATGTGAGAGAGAAACATCAATCAACTGCCTCCTGCATGCTTCCTACTGGGGATCAGGCCCGCAACCTGGGCATATACCCTGACTGGGAATCAAACCTGAACCTGTCAGTCCAAGGAACGATAATCAATCCACTGAGCCACACCAGCCAGGCTTCTTTATATTTTTAAAGTGACAAAAGTATTAATAAGAATTCTAGTTATTTCTATTATACTTCCTTGAAAACATAAACCAAACATACTTACTGCTGGTTTTTTTCATTCAAAGTATTGATGCCCTGAAGATCAGAAAGAGGTGTTCTGGGATTTTTCCGAGTTATACCTAGCATTTAAAAAGCAAAAATTTTCAAATCAGTGAAAAACTAAACATGAAATAATATTTCTAAGGACAAATGAAATTAATGTACTTTAATAGCAAATATTTGCTCAACATGTCAGAAACATCTAAACAATAATATTAACAAGTCCCATGACTGTTACTTATAAATATTACTTAACCAACAGTGAACACAATTAGGGAACTTGATAATAAATTATTTTATTTCTTCTCTCATTTAAACATTATCAGGATAGAAGAATAAATGGGATGAAGGTCTAGAAATACACAAGCTCATTACTTACTTTAACATTCAAAAAATTCCTAATGATTCTTTTGTACTGACAACACGGACTATAGATTTTAAAGATTAATTAATCTTACATATAAAAATACTGAGAATAAAAGACAACAAATTGCTTCCTTAAAGATTACCAATATGTGTAAGTTTTAATTTTCTTCAAATCATTCGATAAACATTGAAGTTCTATAAGCACATGGCTATCAATTTTCATAACATATATATAGAAAAAGACATTATAGGTAAGACACAATGGAAGGAAGAAATGAAAGTATCTCTATTCAAGATAACAATCCTGTATGTTGTAGAATATCCTAAGTAACCCACAAAAAAACTATTAGGACTAATAAATGTGTTAAGTAAAATTACAATAAACAAGTAGATCAATAAAAAGAAACTGAGAGTAAAGAAATAAACCTTTACATTTATGATCAACTGAATTTTGACAAAAGTGCTAACTAAGACAATTCAATGAAAAAGAATTTCATTTTTTCAATTCCTAAGTCATGGACACCAATTTCCCCATGACAAATCATTTTCTATCCTTTATATTCATTCTTTTCTTCTGCATATTGAAACAATCATCTCAGGCCTTTCCTCAGTATTAGTAATTCAATTTTCAGCTCTTTCCTCCACTTCTTGAACTCATACAGGTGTTGCTTTACACCTCTGCTTGTTTTAGTAGTTCAATACCTATTTTCAGTATCATACCGATATTTTATATGCTCAAATGTGTGCTATTGCCTTATTGGAATCATGTTCTTAAACTCTTCTATACTGTAAACTGCTCACAGAAAATGTTCTTCTCTTTCTTAGGAGTATTTTTCCTGCAAAGAAAATAGGGTGTTTCTTTTATGCATATTATGATTTCTTTTTTTTTTTTTTTATCCTCACCGAGGACATTTTTCCATTTTTTGTTCAGGTATAGTGGGAGGAAGAGAGAGGTACAGAGAGAGAGAGAGAAATATCGATGTGAAAGGAACACATCGAGTGGCTGCCACCCGCACAACCCACCAGGGCCGGGGACAAACTGCAACCGAGGTACACGCCCTTAGCAGGAACCGAACCTGGGTCTCTCAGGACCGCAGGCTGACGCTCTAACCGCTGAACCAAACCGGCCAGGGCAAGCATATTATGATTTCTTTATTTCCCTCTGACTTTAACATCAATCATTAAATGTTTTAAACATTAAAAAGGCATAAGGAATAGTATACTGAACACTTGCATCTGATCACTCAGATTAAAAAATGAAGCCCAGTGTACCACTCTAATCCCATCCAAATAGCAAAGTCTGACAGTTCTAATGATGCTAAGTATATCCACTTTGTGATACAGTAAGTCCACTGATAAATTTTGCCCAAGGAACAAAATTATATGTATACAAAATGATGCAAAGTAGAATGTTTGGATAGCTGGATTCCTCACAATAGCTCAATAGAGTACACAACCCTTATATCCACCAAGAAATGAATGATAAATACAAAGTTGTATATACAACTGTATATATATATGTGTGCATATGGAATAAAAGTCAGCAACAAATTACTGATATACAAAACCAACACAAATGAATATGTATATCATTATATTGCATAACATAAAACACAAAAGAATACAGTATGTATAATTCCATTTCTGTAAATTGTTTAGTAAAGGCAAAACTAATTTATATAGTAATAAAAATCTTTTTTACAGAAATCTTAACGAAAGTTGCCTAAAAAAACTGGGAAAATGTACGAAAAGAGCAAGAATAAATTTTCTGATGGTTTTATTCCAGAATTTTTTTTTTTTTTTTTTTTTGGTACGTGCCCCTAGCGGGAATCAAACCCAGGACTCTTTGGTCCACAGGCCGACGCTCCAACCGCTGAGCCAGGCCAGGGCTATTCCAACACTTTAATCATTTTGTGTTCATATTTTAGATTTGTCTCTTACCTTGTAGCTGAATTTTATTTTATTTTTTGTAACCGCATAATCTGTCTTTTAATTGTTTACCTTAGTTCATTTTAATTTTTGGTATCACTGATATATCTGAAATTTTTTCTGCCTTTTTATGTTATGCTTTGTATTTACCCTAATCATTGTACAGTTTTATCCAGATTTTATTTATATTCTGATTTCTTTCTAAGTTATATACACTTTCCTCTTGAATGATCCTTGAATTTTTAACATATTCATGAATTCTAATCTAAATTATTTTCTTTTCCTAAAGATTAAAAGAACCTTCTAATGCTTTGATTCTAGTTATTCTATTCCCGTAACAGATGATGTTACCGAGTACTTATTTTCACCTTGTTTTCTTCTCATCAATCAAGCAAATTAGACATGACTACTAAGTTTTATAAATTGCTTATTTAGATTTACACATATTTACCAATTTCTTTATTAGATCTCAAAACTTTTTAGTGAGTTAATTCAGCTTCTTTCTCCACAAAACCTTTTCATAAATTCTACTGGTAAAGATCTGTTCAGATTACTGTATTTATTATGGCTGCTGTTCATCTTTGCCTAATATATCTTTGACTAGCCTTTCATTTTCATCATTTTAAGAATCTTATAGATATTCAATTAAACTTTTTGAAAAATCCACTCTGAGATTTTAATTGGTAGGTTAATCCATTTTTATTCATTTTAAATAATAGCGTTCGTATTTTATTTTGTATTTCCCTTTTTTTTGGTTAATCCTCACCCAAGGATATTTTTCCACTGGTTTTCTAGAAAGAGTGGAAGAATCGAGAGAGAGAGAGAGACATCTATGTGATAGAGACACACATATTGGTTGCCTCTCACAAGAGCCCAACTGGGGCCGGGGCTTATATCTACAACCTAGTTATGTGCCCTTGATGGGAAATCAAACCCGCAACCCTTTGGGCTGCATGCTGCTCTAACCACTGAACAAACCAGCCAGGGCTATTTCTTTCTTTAAACTCATTTTTCCCTTCTTAGTTTTCATTTGATAGATAAAGGTTTCTTATGAGAAAAGATTGTATTTTTGTATTATTCTGGTTGTCTATAAGGTAAATATAATGGACCACATAAAAAACAGGTTTACTTTATTAAAAACTGACAAACTGTTTTCCAAAATAATTATACTATTTTACTTACCAGTAGAGTATATTGTTTCAGTTGCTCCACATCCTCATAAGTTAGTTTTGTCAATTTTTTAAATTTTAGCCATAATATAAGGTGTTCATGTGACCTCACTGTGATTACAATTTGCATTTCCCTAATGACTAATGAAGCTGATAATCTTTCATGGGTCTATGGACTATTTACATATCTTCTTAATGGAAATGTATACTCAAATCTTTGGCCATTTTTCACTTATTTTTGTCCTCCTACTTACCACAGGATTTTTTTTTTTCTTTTCATTTTTTGTTCAGATAGAGTAGGAGGGAGAGAGAGGAAGAGAGAGAGAGAAACATCGACGTGAAAGGGACACATCGAGTGGCTGCCACCCGCACAACCCAACCAGGGCCGGGGACAAACTGCAACCGAGGTACGTGCCCTTAGCGGGAACCGAACCCGGGTCTCTCTGGACCACAGGCCGACGCTCTAACCACTGAGCCAAACTAGCCAGGGCACCACAGGATTTTTTTTACATTTTGTTTTCAAGTCCATTATCAGTTTCAGTATTATAAATTATTACAAATATTGTTTCCCAACTATGATATACTTTTTATATACCATATCTTTTAACAATATCTTTTTAAAAGCAGATGTTTTTAATTTCAGTGAACTATTTATCAATATTTTCATGTTCTTATGTCCTATCTAAGAAATCTTTACCTGTCCAAAGATTATAAAGAATTTCTCTTGGGTTTTTCCTTCAAACTTAATAGTTTTACTCTTTACAAAGCCAACTTTTTTTTTAAATCCTCACTTGAGGATATTTTTCCATTTATCTTCAGATAGAGTAGGAGAGAGGGAAAGAGCGAAACGTTGATGTGAGAGAAACATATCGACTGGTTGCTCCCTGCATGGCCAAGGTTGGGGACAAACTGCAACTGAGGTACATGCCCTTAGACGGAACTGAACCTGGGACTCACTGGTCCACAGGCTGATGCTCTAACCACTGAGCAAAATCAGCCAAGGCTACAAAGCCCATTTTTTGTTTTATTTATTATTAATTCATCTTTATTGTTGAATGTATTACAGATGTCCACACTTTCCCCCCCCACTGACTCCCTCCTCCCTGACCCGCCCCCCTCCTGCCTTCCCCACACTATTGTCGGTGTGCATTGGTTATTCACATATGCACAGAAGTTCTTTGGTTTATCTCTTCTCGTCATCTCTCCCCTCCTCCCCTTTTGAGGTTCATCAATCCAACAAACAATTTGTACTTCTTAATTCCTTCATATGTCTCACCCACCTGGCAAGCAACAAAAAGTTGTCAGTATCTATGAGTCTGTTTCTGTTCAGCATGCTCATTTTGTTTGTAGATTCAACTGTTGATAGATATGTATTAATTGCCATTTTATTGTTCATATTTTTGTTCTTCTTCTCTTTGAAGACGACCCTTCATCATTTCATATAATACTGGTTTGGTGGTGATGAACTCCTTTAGCTTTTTCTTGTCTGGGAAACCCTTGATATATCAATTGATTCTAAAATGATAGCTTTGCAAGATAGAGTAATCTTGGTTGTATGTCATTGCTTTTCATCACCTTGAATATGTCTTGCCACTCCTTTCTGGCCTGCAAAGTTT